TGAGGATGCCGAGATGCACTAAAGGCCCAGGGCTGAGGGACCAGGCTGTTTCTGCAGCTGAACCTTGTTCCTCAAGAGACATGAGCAAGTCCTGGGTTATCAGGAACCCAGAGGCACAGAGGAGGACAGCACACACATATAGCATGTGGGGATGGAGGACAACATGAACCTCTGAGGGTTTGGGGGTTTTTTTCCTGTGTAGGACTGATAAGGCAGAATTTCTTTAAAAGCAGCATGTACCCATAACTGGATGATACTTGTGCCTTTTGCCCAAGTCCCTAAGTCAGTCCAGAAGCTGAAGACCAGAACAGAAAGTGAGCGATGGCCATAGTCTCCTGGGGGTGTCAGAAACCCCCATGCATGGGCAGCACACACAGAAGCAGTGACTCATGGCTGCGCTTTTACCCCCACCACAGCACTGAAACCAAGAGCAGGAAAGAAAAACCAGTGCCTTTTCCCATAAACCAAAACTTTAAGAGAAAACCCAAAGCCCATTTTCCAAACTCACACTTGGTTCCAGCAATTACTCACAGCTACTTACATTTGCTCATGACTGAGTGTGAGAAGGTCTCGATTCAGGGCAGAAACCACACTGAGGAGTGGGGCATTTTCTGATGAATTGGAAGCGCTGAGTAAACCTGAATAAATTGTTTAAAGCTAGTCGATTTCCTTAAAGCTTTGCTTCATACCGTGCTTTTCTACACCACAAGGAGTCTCAGTTATATTGCTTGGTACTGTCCCTTTGTTCTCCGACACAGCTACTCAAACATCACGCACCCCGAAACCAAAGAGTTTCCTTTGAAGCATCGCCAGGCTGTAGGCAACAACAACCACATCCTCATGCGTACATAAAGAGCAAGTGTGCTGAGGGTGCCTCGCCTGCCTCGAGATCTGTTGCACATAAAGCACCTGCCTGCATCACCCTCTGTAGGGGTTTTCTGCAATAAGAGCTGCTCTTCTGCCACAGGTTACTCATCGGAGCGAAGTTCTCAGCAGCAGGGTGCAAGTGCATCCAGGCACTGTGCAAAATTTGCACAAACTGTTTATACAAATATTTTATTTGGGCATTTACAGTAAAATCTGGGCTGGAGAGGGTAAACAGAGTTCCAGTTTCATGCCCCTCTTAACACATTACTGTAAATCTAGTCGTATTTGGTATTTTTTCCTTCAAGGGCAGGAATTATGCACCCAGCTGACCTTGCACTGGCGCAGGAGGAAAGGAAGCTTTCCAGACCTCCTGTTTGCAAAGCAATAAAACATAACAGGGCTCAGAGATCAGAGGGAAAATAAATAGATCCTCTTGCTCACCCTCCTCCACTCCTCTTTTTTCCTTCCCCAGTTTATATTTAGCTCCGGCTCCTCCATGCCCACGGGAGGGCTGCCCTGGGAGCGGGGAGGCAGGGCACCAGGGCCAGGCTCTTGGGGAACCTCAAGCTTTCCTCGTCAGAACAGAAAATCAACAGACCTGCTCAGCAGAGCGGAGGGAAACAGCAGCTCTCACAAGAGAAAAACAGAGATAAGAAAAAGAAAGCAGCGGGGCCCATCAGGGTCATGCATCATTTGGTTTTTCACCTGATTCTGCTCATCTGAACCTTGCAGAGCCTTGGTTTGCGGTTCAAGGAAAAAAAAATTTGTCTGTGTGCACTGTGTTGGACAAGTACATTAATTAGTTGTCTGGAGTGAACACGTGCTTACAGCTCATTATCTTCCTTGATAAAGCCATCGGTATGCACTCACCCCGAGTTCAAACCCCCCAATCCAGCCCTCTCCTCACATTCACCAGCTCTGCCAACTACCCCAGACCTGCACAGACGCTCCTCAAGAACACCACAGAGCACCCCAAAGGGGTTGGTCTTGTATGACTACATGCTTGCGTGACTATTTTAGAGCTCCTACAGTGTTTTGAATGCCTAATTCTTACGCTTCTTAATGGGCCCAAGTACTAACATGCTGTAAATGCCCCTCGCTAAGTGCTACCAGCACTTGGTACTGAAGATCCTAACTCAGCATAGGGAGGACAGGGCCAGACTCTTTTCAGTGGTGCACAGCGACAGGAAAAGGGGCAATGGGCACAAACTGAAGCAGAGGAAGTTCCGTCTGAACATGAGGAAGAACTTCTTCCCTCTGAGGGTGACGGAGCCCTGGAACAGGCTGCCCAGGCAGGCTGTGGAGTGTCCTTCTCTGGAGATACTCAAGACCTGCCTGGACAAGGTCCTGTGCAGCCTGCTCTGGGTGACCCTCCTTCGGCACGGGGGTTGGACTAGATGACCCACAGAGATCCCTTCCAACCCCGAACATTCTGTGATTCTGTGAGCTGTGGCCACAGCCCACCATCTGATGGTAACAAAGGGAACACAGCATGGCAAACCAAGAACACCCACTCGTGACGCTACAGTCACTGCCTGGGGCTTGCAGCCACTGCCACGGCCTGCTGGCGAGCGACTCAGCAGAGCCACTGTGGTCCCCAGGACAGCACAGCCCTTCCCCTCCTGGGTCAGGTATACCCACCTGAAAGGTCTTTTGAAGTAGCCCAGTAGCTTCTGCGGTATTGAGAAACAAGACATGACATCTGTGCCAAGCTCCCAATGCAGCAGAAGCCGCCTTCTCCCCCTCCATTTGTGCCGTGACAATAGCAAGGCCACAGCAGAAAGAAGGTGGGAGCCTGGTGCAAAGCCACCTGCCTCGGTGCAGCACGTTGCCTGGTGAGCAATGCGGCGGGGGTGCTTCCTACTGAAGTCTCCCATTTCTTTTTTTAAACCAGGCTGCCTATTAGCAATGCACATCAACACCAAAGCAATAGCTTTGTACTTCAGAGTTACTCTCTTAATCAAATGCAACTTCACAGAGCCGCACGGATCTAATTGTTCAACGTCCAGGTTCTCTGCCTTTGCAAGAGATAAATACTCTAAGGAGCTGCTTTTTGACTGGCATCCAAAACTCACCACTGGCTGCTGGGACTGTGATTTATTGCTGCTGCTTGCAATCAATTTCAAGGCAACAGTGTGCATTTGAACTGAGAGTCAGGACAGTGCGAGGGGGGAACGAACACCCACCAAGCGCTGACAACTAATGAATCCTGGGCAGTCAACGCTCTCCCACTTTTCTGCATTGCAAAACACGCTCCAAGAATACAGCATGAAGTGCTTGGCAGCACCTCTCCTCTACCTAGTCCGGAGCCATCAGTCTGGTCAACCAGAGCTCTAAATTTCATTTATGCACCTTTTAAACCTTACCCGACAGCTGGATCTCCACCTGCAGAGCCAGGGAGGAAGCCAGGTAGCGCTGCAGCCACCAGCCCAGCCCACAGCCAGCATCACCCAGCAGACGAGGGATGCTCTCCAGGCAGCAGCCAGCCCTGCTCACACAGGGAGCAGCAGGTCACGTTCCTGGGGGGGAAGCAGCCAGGGAGGAGGCCCTGGAGCTGCAGTGAGCCATGTAGTTTGAGCCACAGAGGCAAGAAAGTGCCCCTCTGTCTCCTGTAGCACATTGCTCTGGGCATCCCTTGAGCCCAGCTCTGCGTATGCCATAAATCTCAGTCTCAGCCCAAACAGAGCAAGCGTTGAGGTGGCTGCTGTTTGAGAGGAACTGTCTTTCCTCTGCATCACCCAGGCAGCTTCAGATACCTGGGGCCTTGCTGAACCAAAACCCATTCCCACCTCACACAGCTGCAAAGAGCAGTCAGGAGACACCCTCTCCAAAAGCCCCTCAGCTCCTCCACAGCCAAAAGAAGAGAAAACCCCCAGGGCCAACCACCACCCTCCCTGGAGCTGCTTAAATTTGCCTCCTGGGCCATGGTGGGATTGTGCCCACCTGGGTCCAAGCCCCCAGCTGCCCTGCCTGCCTTTGCCTGCCTCTGCCCGCTCTGCCTGCCTCTGTCTGCCCACTTACCAGGCAAAACCCACGAGTCTCCCTGCGCTGGGTTCAAAGCAGAGGGACAAGCTGTCTGCAGGGCTCCTGAGAAGGGGGAAGAGAGAGGGGAAGCAGTTTTGACCCCATCAGTCCTTAAATGAGTGGATCTTGAGCAGTATTTTTCCAGCCTGATCATGTCTAGGAGCACAAAGCAGGAATTATTTCCTCTTTTCTCCTGTCCAGTCTTTTGCTTTTGCTGCTAACGCTGTTACACAGTCCTGTTTTACATCAAAGCAGTGGGAATTTCTAGACTATATTTTTTTAAAGGAAAAAAAAAAGGGATAGCAGCAACTGTTTGGAGTAAATTCCCATTACAGTCAGGATAGTCAACAGCAAGGATTCCTGTGAGAGCACATTGCTTTCTTAGCAAATCTCAGGGTAACCGATCAGTGCAATGCTTGCCACGAAGGAGAATTTGTGTTTCCAGCCTCCTTACTTGAGGGTTTCCCTCCCTGGACAGTGAGGTTCGTCTCAGCCGGCACAAGGGCTTCAGGGTCAACAGCATGATGCAAAAAAAAAAATTCCGATAAATCAACCTGAGGGAAAAGCAGCCCAAACATGTTAAAAAGAAATGGGCTGACTCCAGGTTTCACACCTTCCATGCTTCAAAGCACCCCAAGCCATATCCTCCACCTTTGCTGGGAATCACTGGTGGGGACCATCCCCAAACCCCGGGACTGGAGCGGAACAAGCCCTGGGGAATATTTTGCTTTGTGGCCCCCAGGCGCAGGCAGCGAGGAGGTGCGAGCTACTGCCGAGACTGCACGAGAAATGAATCATCTGCCAGGGAGAGCAGGAGCAGGGATTAACGCAGCTCCCGAGCAGGGCGATGGCAGAGAGGAGACATCGGCAGACAGAGGGGAAGAGGTTGGGTTAGGACAAGCAGATAAAATATGGAGACAAAAAGTGAAAAAAACCCCAACCTACTGTGAAGTTCAGATACTTTGAAGTTGGAATTTACACCTTCCAGGGAGGGCCAGAAGCACTGCAAAAGGGTTTGGATGCTGGAAGCACAGGGGGAAGCTGAATCTGATTTCTTAAATCCTATTCTTTCTATTTGCAGCACAGAAATCTGTTTAAAATCAAAGGCTTTATCGCTTGTGGCTTCCAAAAGTCACAAAATTGTTTCTTCCGCTGCGCTGTGGAAAAAAAAAAAAGAAAAAGGGTTAAAAACAGTCTTTCGCCAATCAATCAGCCATGCTGCAGTGTCCCCAGATCACCTCATTAGCCACAGAAAGGTAGCTTAGTAACAATATTTCTCTGCCCATTCCCACGCACTGCGCTGGTTGAACTTGGCTTTTTCTCTTTATTGAAAAAAATTCCCCTTTGGAAAATGTGATTTCAGCCAAGTTCCCCTTTTCTGTGGGAAGATGTTGGTTTCAGCCATGAATCCAAAAATGAAAAATGTCAGTTCGACACAGCGATTCAGACCAGCCCCTGCCCTGTCCTCCGCCTTGCCGCGCCTGGAGCAAGGTGGATGCTTCCCGCTTGGATGCTTGTGATCCTGAGGCTGAGGCAGGGGCATTGCCCCCCTCTCAGAAACAGGGCAGTCTGGTGCTTCTTGGCACGTGGGATGGGAAAGTGGGTTTGGAGCAGCCCGAGCCAGTGCCAGGGCCATCAGCGTCCCACCACAGTCACCGAGCTCCTCATCCTGCCCAGGCCGTGCTGCCCCTGTCAGTCAACACACGGTGCTGGTAAAGCAAAGAAACTCAGCCCCGCCACGGGTTTTCGCCTTGTTTCTTCCTGTCCCACAAGACTCCTGCGCACAGCGTTACACACCGAGTAAGGCATTTGAGTTGTTATCTGTGCATAATATGAGATATCTGTATCTTTCCAGGATGGGGGCCTGGGTTTCCACCCCTACAAAGTTCCCACTGTGTCGAGCATTAATCCCGGCTGTGCTTGCACGCACACAGCAGCTGAGACAGGAGCAGGGCTAATGAAGATTGCAGCAAAGATAAAACTCGCGTCTTCGTTACCTGTTTGATCCCATGCAAGAGGGGAAGTCACTTGGTTTGGTCCATGCACTCAGGCTGAAATGCAGATTTTGCTTCCTAAAAGCTACTCCACAGCACATCTCCACCCCACACACCTCCCTTCCCCAGGAGCTGCCACCGGCCTCCTCACAAGCCTGCTTGAGCTGCCAAGGTACCGTCCCAACAAGAAACAGGACACCCAGTCCTGGAGAGCCCAGCTGCAGCACAAAGCATCACTCTTGATTGAAAACGGGTTAAAAAATTGAGCTCCAGAGACTCTTGTGAAAGGCAGCTGGTCCCTAAAACAGAGTGAGCAGGGCTCTGCTCCTTTAAAACATAGTTTAGAGGAAAAAAGTCTTCCTAATTACAGCTGATGGTTTGTAAACGGACTGGAAGGCATCCAATGCTGGAAGTGCAGAGCCATATCGAGCACAGCACGCTCTCCAGTACCTCTGACTGCAACATCAGCCCAACTGCTCTGTGACGCCTCGAGAATCCCTCTTGGACCTCCAAATAATCGCTCACCGATTCATCCTGGAGCCCAGACTGCTGGGGCCAGTGTCCTGCAGTCTAAAATGGCAATGAGAGCAGTTTAACACATAGTGCTGCTTATGAACCTCGCCAGCACAGCTATGCACTCTTCCTCCAAGCCGTACCCCAGCTGTCTGGGAACCTCTGGCTCCCTCAGGGCATGGGGACGGTGCCAGGCTTGAACACCCACCACTCGCAGGGGCCCTGACAGCAGACAGGGACGGTCCCCTGCCACCAGCCCCTGGTCATGTTACAGCTGCTGACACCACAGCGTTGTGAGTCATTTGGGTCTAAAGGTAGAAGGGCTCCAAACTGGACTTGGGTGGGTATTTGGCCCATCAGAGCCCATGGTCAGTTACTGGCCAGCATGCCCTGAAGCCAGGAGAGCCCCACCAATGAGCCAGGCAACGGCACGGCCTTAAAAGCAGCTGATTGCTTACCATGGGGAAAATTCAAAGTGTTCCAACCCAGGGCAGCTGCTTTCCAGTCCTGTATCATCCCAAGTTGTCTTTCCAGCAGCAACGCACAGAGGACACCAGGAATCCGACAAGTGAAACCACAACCAAGAGGCGAGTGACACAGTTCCAGGATCAGAGCCAGAGGGCTGGATTTGGGATTCTCCTTCCTGAGCTGCGATTAAGCTGCTTTCAGTCGTTACTAGTGATATTCTCCCAAGTGGCCATCAGCCGGGGCTGTGTTGCAAGCAACCAGCTGTGCAGAACATCCAGGCATCCCACTGAAGCCCACAGGAGCTCCTCGTGCTCACAGCTCCTGCAGATTAAAGCCAAGTTTCCACCACTTGCCCACCCAAATCAGCCGGAGGGGCCACTTCTAAAAGCCAGGGGCCACTTTCAAAGATGCTGCCACCTTAAATGGAGGTTTGCCATCAGCCAGAGAGCAGGGCTAGGCAGACCGAGGGCCCACATGGAGCTGCCAGCCTTCAGGCGAAGACCAGGGGTTAATTACTACACACTCCTTACTCCCCAGAGGCAACCCATTGTCTGGGTGAATCTACAGGACATCCTTCAGAAACAGAAAGAAAACCCCCTGCAAACAGTTAGGTTTTCAATCATTTTAATGTGATGACTGCAATTTGACCACAGTCTCAGAAAGGAGAAAGTCTCACAAATTATCTGTGCTTCGGATTTGAGTCAATCTACACAGTTCTTGTTGATTGACAGTTATTCAAGTTAAGACGTTCTGACCATCAGTCATGTTCTCGGCTGAAAGGCAGGATCGCAAGTGTTGGACATATTGGTGCAAACCAGGAATGCTTCTTCTGGGATTAAAGCTGCGACACCTGATCTCCTCTAAAGAAAACAGAATTGTACACGCACACACGCACGCATGGACCGAGCATGCAAATACGCCGGGAACCAGCTACAGCTTCACGGGAAAAAACACGTCGTGGCAATACAGAGGTTGGTCTGGTATTCAAAAGGCTACTTAACATGGAAGAGGGGAAACCACACAAATACCAAAAACTGAGAATATTCATTTTCCAGTATTTGAAAAGAAAATAGGAAGAGCTTTTGAAATTACATCGTGTTGGCAAACTCTGATTTTTGGGTAACAAAGCAAAAGGTGAAGGCAAATTTTCCAAAGTATTGTAAAATTTATTGTATAAGTATTGCAGCTTTTAGAATGACATATAATTGCCACTATTGGTTACTGTTACACAATAAGCGTTTACAACAGATTTTTGTAAATTGGCATCAGAGTACATATTCATACTAAAACAGCAAAATATAGATAAGTACTGCATTGCATGTGCTGTCAATAGTTTACATAAGTTTAAACTTCAACAGAACTCAGGATACAGGACTGCCTATAACAAACTCCAAAGCCAAAGCAATGCAACTGGAAGTTTAAGAAAATATTAATACAATGAAATGTGTCTATAAGGCAGGCAAATTAGGACTTTAATGTTGTCCTTCATAAGCTTCTATAGTACAGCAAAAATCTGAAGCGCGGTTTCTGGAAAACTTTGTTTTTCGTAGTTTTGTGTTGTACATAGAAAATCTCTGAGCGATACAGAGACAGAAGAGATTAAAAATTCATTCCGTTTTTCACCTAGCACTGTTAATTCTACACATCTGGATTCAGTCTCTTTCCAATCCGTAGTAAAAATGTTGGGCTTTTATTTCTTTATTTTTTAATATAGCAGTTAGTGCAATTTTGTAGTTCAATACACATATAAAAGAGTGATTCTCCAGAAAGCAATTGGATTTCCTTATACCCCCACTTAAGATAGAACGAATTTTGTGACATGTATGGAAACAACGCACTAGATGAGTAAAGCTGAATCTTCAAACCGGTGAAATCGAGGGTTGTGAAGGGAACGCAAGTTTTACCAGTGTCAGCCCCAAATAAAACCCATCCTTCCTCACCATCCTGATCGACAAAGCCACATTCCCATTCCAGGCCATTAAGAGCTGGGGGCACTTTCAGGATGCTGTTTGCCGTACTTTAAGCTAAGAAACTCCGTGAGATTAACAACCCCTTTTAAAGCTAACGTGGCTTCAAACTTCGAGCAAAAAGGCAGGCTAGGACAAGAGGTTGCTAAGAATTAGCAATGCCTTGTTTCTTCTGCATTTGTTTAAAAAGAAATCATTCTTAAGGGGTCTGAATCTCTCTGCTGGCAGCTGCAAGATGCTAGCGACTGCTCCGGGGCAGGCCCGCAGCCCAGCTCCCAGGGCAGCGCTCTCCTGAGCTGCACCAAGGCCAGAAGGAAACGAGCAGAGACATCAGCAAGAGTGTGCAAAGCAAATTCTCTGCCTTGGCAGCAATACGGGACATGGGAGTTGGGAAGAAATGGACCCCGAGGCAAAAAGTAACATTAAATAGTAATAATAATAATAATAACAACAACAATAACAATAATAATATAAAAGAACAGACCATTATTTCTAAACACCCATTCAGAACTTGGAGTTGATCTGGGCCCCAGATCTGGTATCTGCACTTGAAATACACAGTTCTCAGGACTGCAAAGCAGAGGGATGGACAGAAGAAAGACAAAAGGTGACAACTTGGCTCTGTCGAGGTGGACTCGAGTTGCACCCGCTGCCTGGGACCCGGGGTCCCCCCCCTGGGGCTGCAGCTGTTCCCCAGGCACCCGCACCGGGAAAGGTGGCAGCTCGGTTTTCCTTTGTGCATGGCACGGACTGAAAGGCAGTGTTTGCAAAAGAAATTTGGTGCTGATGAGCCACCCCGCTTCACACCCATTAAATTCCCCAAACTAGAGAAAGAGGTAAATGAAACTGGACCCAGGAACTCAACAAACTGGTCACTGAACTGCAGATGCTTGGGGTGACACTTGAGAAATAAAAGCTCATGATGGGAGCAGACTGGGGAGAAAGAAAAAGATGGGGGAAAAGAACCCAGAGAATCGGTTGAAATTTTGAGGACTTCAAAGCATAACAGCCAGGTTTAATTGCACTGCATTTTCAGACCCTCTCCCAGTACCCCCCTGCGTCTTTCCAGACCCTACCCACCTCCCTGACCTCTCGATGGGGTTTGGTGGCTGGGTGACAACACGCAAGACAATCCCGACACTTAACAACCTCCAGTCCCCATGACACCTATTCACTGCTCAGTTTCAAACGTGTGATGCATATTCCACCCAAAACCTGCTGAGGTAACCAGGTTTTTTGTAGCAAACAAACTAGTTCCGATCACAGAACAACACCCACCCCCCAAAAAAAAACCCTCCCCAACCCCAATAACACTATTCACGCATTTTGGCTCAAGAGGGCAGTAGATATATTTCGGTTTCTCTTTTGGTTGGTATCTCACAATATCCACTACAGTTTCCTACATCCCGGGGCAGGATGATGTGCATAAACATGTTCAAGTTCCCTTACAAAGAGTCGGAGAAGAGCAGCGGCCGAGGGAGCAGCCGGCGCTGGCAGGGAACGGAGCTGCTCCGGGAAGCCAGCAGCGCTGCCAGGAAAGAAGGGACTGGAAAATTGAATGCAAGGTCCAAAGGAGCAAGAGACCAGACGCTGGTTACTTGTGTCGCTAATGATGATTTTGTTTTCCCCTCTCTAAAAAGGGAGGGTTACTGTTTCTTTAATAAGGCACTAAATAGACATGTTACATAAAGGAAAGATACATTTTAAAAACTCGTATAAATTCATCACTTTTGTACCTTTCATGACAAACTAGATTTACTTCTTTGCATGACTTTTTTTTTGTGGCTTTTTTTTTTCTAGGTCATCAAAATTTAGGTTACACGACTGTAAAGCTATGAAGATTTCAAGAGCTGTGGAAAAGCAGTTTGAAATATTGAGAAGGTACAGGACTATTTCTAGGCAAAAACAAAATAAAGCAAAAAATAATGATCAAACTTCAAGTTCAGCTATTCACCGTCTTCTTTAAAATATATATAAATATTGTTCAAAGGATCAGAACTTCAAAACTGTTCTCATGGTTATTTTTTTTTTTTCAAGTAATAGAAAAGTTGCTTAAAAACAATAGTTATTGCCTTTATATCTTTCATTTATGTCACTCTACTAGATAGCATCCTGCGGAAAATGAGATCACACTTCCTTGTAAAACCTTCGCTCTCTACGGTTCCCCTACCGCCCTTCCTCGAGCTCGGAGAGACGGGACCGAGAACGGGTTTTCTCCCTTTTGCTTTCTCTCTCATGCGCTCTCAGGTTTCTCACTCGCTCGCTCCGTCACATACAAATGCACCACAAGGGCAAAACACCTACCAGACACCTACGAAATATAAAAATGTAAACAATAGCATAGTAAGACAAAATGCTTCCGAAACCAAGATAAATTAAAGACGCACAACACCCGGCGGCGGGAGGGCAGGTGGGACCGTGCTGCTGCGGATGAGGGCATCTTCAGAAGAGGTAAAGGGGGGTTGCTTCTAAAGCGTTAAGCGTATTTCTTTAGCCTTTAATTAATACATCACAGGAGCAGATTCATTTCCATCTACTGTATCTGACACCTCTTTAGCTAGGGTAATAAAGTAAAAAACAGCGATGACCAGAGGCAGCCCGGAGGACGGCGGAGCTGCGAGACATGGCTGCGCCCGTTTATCCTGAATAGAGGTCTGGGAGGTTAGTACAAAACGAACATGACTTTCACCACCGCCACATTTTTCAGCTCGTACTTTTGTTGAGATATTTAAACCCCGGCTGAGAGGCAGCTGGTGGGTACGTTACCATTTACTCACATTAACTTCCATAATCACTGCTTTAGCTCCAAATAGGGCCCCTTCAGTTGAACATTGAAAGAAATAAACCAAAAAACACTTTGTTCCTTCAGACACAGAAGTTTATTCTCCTCCCCACCACCCCCCTCCAAAAAGTTAGAGGCTGTCCAAAAAAAAAAAAAAAAAAAAAAAAAAAAAAAAAAAATTTTTTTTTCTCTTCATCTTTACCTACCCTCAGAAGCAGGGAGTTTTTATTTTACTTTTTTACTCCAATAATCCTACCGGATGACACACAGACACACACCAACTCCTCTTGCTTTGCAGGGAATGTATCAAGCCGTGACTGTCAGCGGCCACGCGCAGGGACTCTGGAAATTAAGGATTTGCATAAGACGCAGTCTCGCTCACCGCTCCTCCCAGGGCTGGCATCTCCACTTCAGCGCTTTTCCACCCCCTTCCAGCTACTTTGTTCTTCACTTCGACATATATCCCTTAACAGGTTCATGGTAGACATGATAGAGGCTTTGACCAACACAAGCACTGACATATTTATATTAAAAAATAGTGCAAAATTTCAACATTTATATAAATAACTCTAAACCCCTGCTTTTGATTTTTTTTTTTGTTTTTTTGTTTTTTTACAATGTAATACACGCTTTTTGAGTTGGCACTCAAAAAATTGCCATTTTTCTTCTAGTTCAGAAAACAACTTTTTTTTTTTGAATAGGCCTCTTCTAATACAAAAATACTCCTGCTCCTTACACATACACTTTCTCTTATTTTTAATATATATTTATATATTTATATTGCAGATCTTTAAACAAAATGTTTTTGTGCAAATATTTTGTCTTTAAAGATACGTGAAATAATCAAACAAAAAAAAAAGCATTCACACAGCTCAACTAGAAACAAAAAAAAATGGACTACAGTTGATTTTTTTTTTTCCTTTTTAAACGTCTAGACACAGCTCAATAAAGAAATGTTTTTGCAAGCTTGGTAGGCTTGTGCATTCAGACCAGACATAACAAGTAAATATTTATACATGGAGAGTTTTTTTTTAAAAGGGTTTCCCTTTTTGTTTCTCTTTCTCTTTGTTCCACGCGGTTGTGCTCTCAAGGCCATTGATTTGTGAATGATGGAGTCTGCTGCCCTCCAAGATGGAGGGCATCCCGTTGTTGTTCTGCTGGTGCTGGTAAAACGTTGACCCGGGGTAGTGCCCTATCACCTCGCTGTACGTCGGCGGCGGTCCCTCCATCCTCCCATTGCTCCCACAGCACTCCCTGTTGAGCTCCATTTGCTGCTCGGGGTCTCGCAGCTGCAGCGTGCAGGGTCCCTGGTACGGGGGGGGCTCCTCGCCGTCCGACAGCGAGATGGTGGGCGGCAGGTCGATCTCGTGCTGCATGTAGGGGTAGGTGGGTTGGAATCTGTTAAAGCGGTCCCTCTGCAGAAACGACGGCACTGCCAGGCGGTCGCTGGGTCTCGGGGTGTAGATTTGCTGCTGAAAGGGAGAAAGAGAGACAAAGAGGGCGAGAAGCGTGAGACGCCGCAGCCTGGGACAGCGGGAGAGGCAGCGGCACCCGCGCCCGCATCGCCCTCACCTCTGGTATTCCGTTCCCCGACACGGTGCTTTCCGAAGGCCACAGGCTTCCCTCCTGCATTGGAAAGGAGAAGAGAGTGCCCAGTGAGTCTGACTGCCAGCCGCGGTCCAGCTCCTCCCTCAAACAGCTCGCGCCAGAGCCCAGGTGAGACGCTGCCCACCAGCGCATCCCTGCCCCGGCTGCGGCCACGCACGGATGCACCCTCTGCTAGGCAGGCAACCAGCTCTCCCAGGGGTATCAGCTACTACCAGATATGCTGGGTCTCTCACGGGTATAGGCTAAGGGTATTAGCGTACTGCCACTGAAAACAACATTCTGATTAAAACTTCCCTCCATTTTCACCTCCATTTTTATTTCATAAATCACTTGAAGAATGAATGATGAGAACGACACCGGCAAACAACGCTCTCCCAGTTGCAGACTTCCCCCCTCCCGCCCACACCCACCCAGCATGTTTCTCTCCTTGGTTCAAACGTGCCAGAGGAAAGTTTTTCAATTTGCGATCCATGAGCCGTGGGTGATTCACAAGACATCAGAAAATGCTCCATGAAATAATGACAAGATTTTTTTTAAAAAAACAAACCAAAAAAACCCCTCACACCCACATTCTGATGCACACAATCAAGGAAATCATGGGAAAATCAAGATAATAAGCGAGTAACTAAATGTTAAGCCTAATTTTGATTTCTCTAAAAAAAGAAAAAAAACAGAAATCTGTAGCAACAGGATGGTTCTAGAGTATTTTTGCCCCAAAAGGATAAGTGGTCCTTGGCTTAACCAGACTGAGGAACTGTGGTCTAAAGGCTTCTTTACGGTGCAAGCAAGACCCCGCGATCCGAACCCCGGCGCCAGGAACCCCAAGCATGATAAAGCCACGAGCCAATTTCCCCCAAACCATGAGATTAGTTTACAATTCATGATCAAAACAAACCAAGGTTCTTCCCATTTGCTGGTGATACTCTAAGCACACACAGTTCATCCCAGACACTTCTGCCTTAAGAACTAAAATATTTAAATATTGCCAATACTCACGCACAGCAACAGCCCTTGGGCAGGCAGGGCTGGAGGAACACAAGCCAGAAGGTTCCTAATTATAACCTGCAAGAGCTGGCACTTCTCAGTTCCTTGCAGGTGAATCTCCAGTTCTGGCACTAGTAGGTCAGGCCCAGGCAGAAGTATTTACCACCAGCAGAAAGCAAATGCCAGGGGTGTTTCTTTTTCCCCTTCAAGGTGTCCCATCCGAAGGCCATTCTCGGGCCCAGCCTACGCAGCAGGGCTTTCCGGATGAGCAAACCACAGGCTTTCCCACTATGAAAATACCAATTTCTACAATAACCGTGGTGACGGTCCGGGCAGCCTGGTGCCCCAGTGAAAGCCTGTAAAAAGCTGCAACGGTACCGCAGCATCACAGACCCCTTCGCTGATAAGGTCAGAAGGGATTTTGCTTGTCTGATGCTCCCTGGACCTCACCCAGCTGTGCAGCACATCTGGCCTCATACTAGGCTGCGGCACGTAACAGGAAACGTTGCTGCACCCCTCTGCAGCTACCCCGGTAAGTGGCGGAGCAGCATCTCCGCTCCCCCCCAAAGCGCCTCGACAGAGACAGACCAGGCAGTCCCCACAGCAGAGCCAGCCCCCAGCCCTGGGGCAGGAGCAACGCGCCCGGGCACCCCGCAACACGCATCCGACTGTCCGAACCGCAGCACCAGTGCCGCATTAACATCTCCAAAGAAGCCATCCATTACACACCCCACGCCCTCCTTCCCTCTCCCTTCCTTTTTTCTTCTTTATTTTCCCCAGCTTTGGAATGTATTTTCTCATGTGGCATCACACATGGTATCGGAGACGGAGAGAACCCCGCCAGGTTCCTGTTTTGGAAGCTCTGCACATAAACCTCAAGGCGGTCCTGTTGCTGGTGCAAGGAAAACACTGATTTATATGGAAATGAGACGGCCCAGATTCTTTTCGGTGTTTTTTAGTTAGCATCCCCTTGGAGCAGAGGTTAAGCGCTGCCATACTGGCACCCTCCCCGGCTGGAGCTAATGAACGCGCTGGCTGAGCTGTGTGCCACACAGCCCTTGCTGAGCAACGCCACGCCGCGTGCTATACAGATCTTCAGACTTCAGTGGGCAACTGTGTACACGGGCATCAGCCTTTTAGGCTGGTCCATGTTACGCGTGCCTCTTCCCTGCAGGGATGGTCTACAGGCAAATTCCCCCAGCACCCAGAGACCCACGAGGAACTGCATCTGCTCAGATCAAATCCTCGCCTCTAACCCCCCGCTCAGCCCTGGCGCTGACAGCAAAGGGCACGGGCAGGGCTGCCCGTGCTGCCACGTGCACTGCCAGCCCTTCACCTCACCCCGAAGGACGCCGGAGCAGCGGGCAGGAGCGGGAAGCACTCCGAAAATTGTGTTTACTTTGCCATGCCCCCGTGGCAGACTTCCTGAGCAGCGAGTACCCCGCTGCCTTCTGCTAGATGTTTTATATTTAACTTGGCAGTGGGCAGTGCCATGGCAATATCCCATCTGCTTCCCCCTTTCCCTGCAGTGATGTCAGCCAGCTCCCACGACGGCGGCTGCAGCCCGGTGCTTCCCAGCGCGCGGAGCATCACCACGCTCGGCTGGGGCTTCCCGCTGCGGCAGGCGATGGCAAAGGCACCTACACACCCTGACGTGAGCTGCTGCACCCAAAACGTCCCCTACCACTAAGCACCCACCCACCCAAAGCCTGCACCCAATACCCCACCCAGGCATTCAGAAGAAAAGCTCTGGCTCACACATTAACTCATCCGTTTGTGCAGATGAGATCCAGGAACGATGCTCCAGGCAACACGTGGATGCAAGAGTAGCAAACCAGGAGAAACACCATTAAAATGGGATCCACAGAGAGGTAAGGAGCAGACAGGAGACCCGTTTTCTGTAGGAGCTGGATCCCTGCAGCTATTATTAACCACTTCTCCTGGGACTCCGGGGCTTGACCTGGGCATGCTTACACGCCCGCAGCTGACCGACCACAAGCACGCTCGCCGCTCACCAGCCCTCGGCCTCACACACTACTGCGAAGCCCACTCGGGCAACAGCTCCTCTCACCTAAAAATTCAACAGTGGGATTAAAATGGCTGGAAACCAGTAGTCAGAGGAGGGCAAAGCCTCAGAGAGAGAAGACAGACATACTTTTAGCCTTTGTGCTTTGGCCATGGGACGGCTACACAGCCCCACTGAGCCAAGCAAAACTGCGCTGCCCCAGGAGGGAGAGTCACCGCTGTAAATCCTTGTCCTCAGGGCTCTCCTCACTCACCTTTGATTTTCAGAATATTTAGGACTTGAATTCATCTCAACAATGGCCGAGTCTAGAAAGCTATGGTTTTCTGAAATGAAAGCTGAGATTCTGCTGTCTGATGAGCAATATAGCTGTAAAAGCCTCCACAAGTATTCTAGGACTCACTGCAGAACCTCAAATTACTTTTAAATTTCTTTTTAGAGATCAATCTTTGACTTTTATAGAAATACTTGTTTTAGCAATGTCATAGAATTTTCTCTGTAAAGCTGCATGGTGCAGATTAATCTCTGAGCCTTCAGGAAGATTTCTATTTTCCACTTTGGGGGATGAAGGTATGCTTGGAAATTGCATTTAAACCACTTTTTCTCGGGGGAGTGGGACATCACTGTTCCTAAGGTGCAGGGACAGTGCCACTCAGTGCAAAAAAATTTTTAGTAGCGTTTCTCAAAGTACTCCTTATAGGGAGACAGAGTTTAAGCACAGTGAGAACAGTGATGGAGAAACATACGACGTAATACAACAATTCCTTGCTAGCAAGAACTACGCTTAAAAAAAAACCTTTAGGGAAATTAACTTCTCCTTCAGTTGTAATTTTTGAGCTACAACAAGAAAGAAGGACAACTCTGGCAGACCTAGCAGCATCCTGACCATGGCATGAACTACTTTAATATTTCAAAAGATGAAAAGCATGTATGCAGCTCTGGTGCCCGTCTGCAGTCACGACAGCAAAATTAAGTTTGGGATTTAAAAAGCCCAACACCAGTTCAGCGCAAGTTTAACGGATTACATAAACGGGTACCCAGTTCAGTGTACCTCTGCCTGCCAACCTTCAGCACTCGTTTAGACTGGAGCTGTTTTCTACAAAAAGGCATGCTGTGCTGAACCCAAAAGAGCTACTTTTAAAATCTTTGTCATGACTGAGCTCATTGTAACAAGCTTCCCACTTCGCACATGAGGGGCTCCTCTTCCCGTCAGGAGGGTGCTCGGGCCACGGGGAAGCTTGGCTGCCACTCCAGCAACACGGTGCTCACAGCAGAGACGGGGCAGGGAGAAGGGGAAGAATTATAAAGAGGGGGGGAGGAAAGCCAGAGGTGCGGAGGTGAACCTTTGCTGAAAAGCCATTTAATTGCTAATGTGTCTGAAGACTGAATAAATAACAGAGCTGTTCTGGTGTGGAGACTGAGCCAGAAAATACCTGTAAATTTTTTCCTTGTGAAATTCAAGAGAAGAAATAAACTTAAAAAAAATTAAAAAAGGGGAAAAAAAGCATTAAACAGTCAACAATTTTTGATTAATCTGAACTTTTTGTTCAGCCTCCATGTGATTTTCTTCTTCCACATTAACCTTCTTTCTTCTTTTAAAAGAAAATAAAAACCAGGCCACTTCAGAAAACAGAAATTAGTACATTAAAATAAAAAAGGCTTGATCTGATATTTGCTTTGAAAATGTAAAATGAAACATTTTGGTATTGCTCAAGTAAAACATTCTGGACATGGTAAAACAGTAAAAAAATCTGAAAATGGAAAAATAATCTTTCTGCTGTTTTCAAAAATTCATGTGCTTGGGTGCCTACATTCTGCTACTGCTAGAAGCAGGTGCACAGGATGGTAAGGAGAGACATAGGATTTCTGTGAGCCGGGAGCCGTGCAGGGAGCTGAGCTCTGATCCCCAAAGCAGGCAGGTGTCTGAATGCTCCCCACCCTCGTGCCAGCTGGTTTAACGCAGGATCACGCACTCCCAGCACTTTGACCAATTTGCATGGTGTCAATAAACGAACACGAGCCGGGCTCAACGCCGGGCTCTCTGGAGACGCCCTCCACAGCCCACAAAACAAAGGGTGGTTTAATTGAGCTTGGGGTTTGCAAGCTCTCCTTCCCAAGGGGTGTCTTCTTCACTCCGGCCTGATAAGGGACCTTTGTCTGCTGTAACGTGTGACAACAGAGCAGCTACGGAGCAGAGGGACAGCCTGCGCCCTGGGCATCTACTGGCTGGACAGCCTGCAACAGTGCTGTGCTGGAGACTTAATACATCAGAGGTTAGAGAGCTGTCTCTCACTCAAAAGAAGGAAAAAAAGGAAGAAAAGAAGGAAAAAAAGGAAGAAAAGAAGGAAAAAAAGGAAGAAAAGAAGGAAAAAAAGGAAGAAAAGAAGGAAAAAAAGGAAGAAAAGAAGGAAAAAAAGGAAAGAAGCAGAAAAAAAAAAAAGAAAAAAAGGAAAGCAATCCCAGTGTTTCATCTTTTTCCTGCAGCGAGCATGGGTTTGAGACAAGAGAGAGCAGCCCCACACCGAGCAGCACAAGGCAGCACGGGTGTGTGCAGCCTGCCCTGGAAGCCTGCAAAGGAGAGGATGCGAAGCAGTGACCTTAAAGAAGCCCTATCGTTTAAACAGCTTTACGATCCTTCAGGCTGAACACTAAAAAAAAACAAAACGTATAGGTACAAGATATGCCTGCACTGAAGACAGAACCCTGTAGGCAGTGGTGAACAGTACGTGCACCTTGAAGAGCCAGACGCATCCCTAAAAGGGGCCCCCCATAACAGAGGCAGAAGATGACACCAAGACCCAACCCGGAGGGTGTCTCTCCATGCAGTGCCAAGCGGCACATCGGCAAACACCAACCAGAAGAACAACGCCCTTGGCTCCAACGTCTCCCCAGTGTCACGTCATTTGTCAAATGGCGCAGGATGACGCGGGCTGGAGGAGCAGGGTGTGACTTACTGATGAGAGGTTCTCATCTCTCCGCCTCCCCTGGCTGTGCCGGCTGATGAAGGAGCTGAAAAATCAGCAGACACGTGATCACCACCACCATCACCATCATCACCACCACGATTATGATTATCTGTACAAACTCCAACTCCGCTGCAAGAGAGAGAGACAGACTTTAAGCCAACAGCAAAAGCAGCATGTAATTGAGCACAAGAACTAATGCGGCCAAGATGCCAATGACACCATCACATCCTTCCCCCATAAAGCTCTCAGACGTGGATATGTGGGCTCTGTATGCTTTGAGCCCAGCTACTTAATCAAAAAGCTCATTAATTCACTTTTTCAGCGTCACAGAAGAGTCTCTAAGAGGGATCTTTAAAGACAATTTGCAAAGCAGAGTGTTTCCAAGCTACGATGCAGACAGGACTTCCCAAAGCCCTCCCAGCTGCAGCGTGCCCCCCACCACCCGGTACAAAACCCGCGGCATCCCAGTGCCAAAGGCGCCTTGCTCCAAGCTGTGTAACAAGCCAGTGTTACTGCTTTTAATGGAACAATTTAGCTAAATGCAAACTAGATTTCTGCAACTCTCTTCCCATCACCACCACTCCTTCCTCCAGGGAGGACCAGGCTGAAGACCTCCTCGGCACAGCCTCGCACCAGGCACATGTCCCCTCTGTCACAGGGGTCGGATGGTGGCACGAGGAGCCTGGGACACGGCAGGGCACAGTAGGCACTGGCAGACCCCTTTTGCCATCCCATCAGCCACAGGGTGCAGGCAGGGAGACCTCCTGCTTTTTGGGGAGACACCAAACAGGCACGACGCAGCTGCCCGCAGGGGCTGCATCCCGGAGCTCCAGACATCCCTCAGCTCCAGGCTCGGCCAGCTGACAGCGGCAGCTTGAGTGGCTTGAACTGGCATAAAGGAAAACTGCCAAAAATCGTCCAAACAAACAAGAACAAGCAAACAACAGACTATCCAGTTAACTCCGGAGGCACTTGGCAGGAGGCAGTAAGAAGCCACTCCTAAAATTTCCTAAGGAAATAATTCCTCACACTTCTCTGAGGCTAAGGAAAACTGAGTACTGGAGGCAAACATTGCCCTGGGGTCATTATTTCCATGTGTTTGGCACCCAGAGAGCGGATGCCGCCCCTGAACCACTCTTGGGTTGCCACCCCCGAGCCCCCTCATGCCAGCAGTGCCCAGGGCCAGGCAGCAGCAACTCCAGCACTCATCATAAAGGAGGAACCAGACCAGCAAAATTCAACAGTCCTGGAAATATGAGCCTTGCTCCTCAGAAGGGACAGCTATAAAACCCAGTTTTGGAAAGCTGTGCCCTAAGCTACCACAGATGCGGCCATCTGTATTTAATACGTACAGACACAGACACGTATACATCCGTGCGTGCATAGGAAGACCCATCAGCGCAGCATCACACTGCTTGGACCAGCTGGGGTGGCTGCTGCTTTCTCAGGCAATTTTTTTTTTTTTTTTAATGGAAAGTTTTCTCCTGGCAGGTGGCATTTAAGTGCCAGTAAAAGCAAATAAATGTCAAGAAAACAGTCCAGGTGGTGAGTGCTGCCAGTTACCTTGGCACTCATTCTGCTAAACTGCAGCTATTTCTGCCATTGCCCAAAACGTTTAACCAGCTCTGCCCACCACCTTCAAAAAGCAGAATTATGCTGTGAAAGCAGGAGCCTTATCTGTCACTTAAAGTGAGATGTATGAGTGACCTGGAGCCCATATACTTACAGCACCCCTGAAGCACAGCTGTCTACACCAGAAGATTGCACATGCAGTGCGAAGAGAGGGATTAAAAGCCAAACGCCGCAAAGGAGTTTTGCCTTAAAAATGCCTTTTAGCTAAAGGCATCTTCTTAAAAGAGGAGGTCTAGGTCTTTCACAGCAACCCCAGCAAGGTGCCCGAATGCCTGGAAAAAAAACATGATCCCAGCAATTTATGATCCATCCCAAAGTCAGCGGCACAGCTTGCCCGTGGGAACGACAGGCGACCGGAGCCGAGAGCTGCCAAGGGTGCCCTGTGCTGGAGGAACAGGCTGAAACCAACAGTAAAAATATGAAAACACACCCCCCCCCCCCCCAACTTAAAATGGCTGGGAAAAGAGAATGACAAGAAAACACTGAAAAAAAGGTGCAACGTCTCTTCCCATGTCATCCTCCCTACGTCGGAGTGTCCCTACACAGCCCAAAGGCACGTCCTAGTGCCAGCCGCACCCAAGGGCACAGAGACCATCCCTGCCGACTTCCAGCATGCGATCAGAGGGGTGAAGGCCCAGGACCCGAGCCAGGCATGGGACAGCCCACAGCTCCCCCGGGTGCTCTCCAGGCCACCCCGAAAAGTGAGACCCCGGGGGAGCCCTGACCCAGAGCTCCTCTGTCCCATCTCGCGCGGGCAGCAGAGCCCACAGGCAGCCATCCAGCTTGGATGCGGAGCCCGCTTTTTGTGGAATTCATTACAGAAAAGAAAAAAACAAAACACAAAACAACGAAGGTTTTTAGGAAGATGAGTCAATTTAGCCTCAAAACGCAGCATGTGCTTTGGCCACGGTAAGAAAACACAAGAAAAAATTTGAGGCCAGGGATGGAAAACTTCCTTTTCTCTTCAAAGAGGTTATATTTCCGAAGAAAAACAAGACCAAGGTAGTTATAAAGGAAAGTTCCTTTCGCAGGATGAGAGGTCCCTTAAATTAACCAAACCTTGCTAAGTTGGTCACGGTACTTCTGTGACACAGGTGAAGTTTTTGCCATCAGGAGCGCTGGGCTAATTCCTTCCTAGGAAGGAACACACACGAGACGCGTGTCACTTACAAACGACCTAAGCCAAGTTTCCTGCACACACAGACATCCAACAAGCAGAGCCTGAAGCAGAAGAAAGGGTGGGAATTCCGTCAGGATCTGGGACAACACACGGGCGCCTCATCCGTCCCCATCCAGCCCTGAATGCTGTTTATTCTGGCTCTAGGACTCCTGTCATCAGGGTATTACAAAAAGGTTGCCAAGAGGTGCAGTAATAAGGCACAGTATCATTACCAGAACAAAGGGGACGCTTCTCCTGCCCCATCTCTCCCTCCCTGTTCTCCTGGCGCTGGTCATCTGGGTGGGCTGGACCCCAACGGGGACCGCAGGGTGAGGCCAGGAGGTGCAGGCAGCGTCTGGCCATGCATCACGCCTTGCTCTCCAACCCCAAAGCCAGGTTATTTCCATGTGGAATCTAGTCTAACCTTATGGCAATCCCACTGGCATTACCAATAGAAGAGCGATTTTAGTATCTCGCTTTGTGGGAGGAGGGAGAACAATTAAGCTGCCAATTAACATTCTGTAAACAGGTCTGGTGAAATGTGTCCGAACGACAAAACCCGAGCAGCTCCCCCTGTTCACGCCAACGGCCCTGCTCTTCTCCAATCTCCTTCGTTAGCACGGGGAAGCAAACAGCTCAATCACTGCAGCAGAGCACGTCTACCCTTGTCCTGCAGCACAGACAAGGGCTCAAACGTTGAAGCATCGCATCTGCCCCCATGTCGTCTTTGGTGGTGCTGCTGACACTAAAATTGCTTCCCAATGCTGTATGTATACACGAGGAGGCCAAACCCACCGGGAAGCTCAGCTCTGTGCATCAGCAGGAGCTCAGGGCAGAGCAGAGGGCACACAGTGCCCCGAGGTCTGCTCATCTCCAAGCCCAGCCTGCGAGGAGCAGCACAGCCTCGAGCGCCTCGGGGCAAACACGTCAGGTGTGCTGAGAGGAGCTTTAATCCCAAGAACGCTCATGTTGCCCAGTCTGGCCTTTGGAAAAAATAAAATAGCAATCAAACCAAACCAAAGTCCCCCACACTCAATTTGTGCTTTTTAGGTTTCCAGAGACTCATATCCACTCGAGGCGCTGAAGTTTCTGCCAGCTCTCCCTCTGTTCTAACTTGTCTTCGTGGGCTTCATTTGCAGAAGGGGGAAAAAACTCCAACACACTGGAAAGCTGGATATACTTGGTAAGATTTTATCCAAGCAGCTCAGTTAAACTAATGAAGAAGGATCATTAAGAACCCAAACTTTGAGTTAATACGTTATTATACAAGTGCAATTCAGCTACTATGCTAATAAAAAGCCTTTGGGGAATGAAGAACAAGCCAAACTGCAAAGCACATGATTTATAATTCTACTGGTATTCTTAAAAGCACACACACAACAAAACAAAACAAAAAATACTCAACACATTTTGTATTTGGCTTCCTAATCATTGTCACTTTTCAATTAGGAGAGACCTCATTCCCTTTCTCTATGTAATTTTCCCCAGGGGAAGTGTTATAAATGCACTAGGCTTTACAAGATGGGCATATTCAGCCTCCAAATGCAAAGTAAGGTCACACTAATTTAATTTTGCATAATTTTTACTCCAGAATACGTTTCAAGCTAACAGGTTCAGACATCACGTTTAAGTGACAGAACCTGCTTTTCTGTATTTTCTGTCTAGACGCTGCAGCTCTGGGAGTCGCTCAGCACGCGTGCAACTGTTTTGCAACTAAGCGTTTTTCCCCCAGATTCTCACAATCCCGAAACTGGATATTCATGATCAAGAACAATCACTTGTCACGTCCCATTCTTCAAGTTTGTGACTTGTTTGCCACTTCAAACCCCATGTGGCCTTGAGTCAGGGTTTCACAGTAGATTAGAGCATTACATTAATAAATGATAGGAGCGACCACTGCTTCCCAAAGCCTGCGGAGCCGGAAACACGCAGGCTGCGGCCACCTCCCTCCTCCAAGGGCTTTTTGTGCCCAGCCACCGGGACACTAAGGCTCTAAAGCGTCAGAAATTTATGGAAACGGCAGCTGGCTGGCAGCTGGCGCGGAGGCACCGCAGCAGCACGGCTCCCGGGGCACCCAGCCCCACTCCTCCCACCAAAGCCCACATTCGCAGCTCGGTAAGAGCAGCTGTGGAAAGGTGCACCGTCGAGCTTCCTCAAGTGCCTGAAAACTAAACGCTCAGCACCCACAGGTTTAAAATGTATTAATATTTTTCCAAAGCAGCAGAGCTACTTGAGCCAATGGGGACCCTGGAAGCGCTGAGCCTCTGCACACACGCACGGTTCACAGCGGCCGCAGGGGACACGGGGCTACGATATACTTTAAATGTGTTTCCTTACTTTTTACAGCTATACTACAGTTCATAAAATGCTTACTATAAACTTTATTAATGCTTTCCTTCCACAGAATATCACTGCTGAAGACAAATGCTCCAAAGTATAAAGAGGAAAAAAAAAAAAAATACACCTGCATTTTACTGCAATAATTACAGGCACTCCAGCTATCACTTACAAGTGGACAGAGCTTTCAGACAGGGTCTCAGCCAAGATGACCTTTGCTTTCAGCCGGGTAGAACACACATCTGCAGGTCAAAACAGTTATCTGTATGCTTCAATTATCATTTCTATATATACTTGAATTGCATACCGTGTGAGAAGCGATGAGGAGAAGTGAAATTACTCGGGAGATAATGGCTAAGCAGAACAAATGCAGCTGCACTAGCCACAACTCCTAAGAAGAAAGTTGAAAAAAATATATGCCAGTCACCATAAACACTGCAGTGCACTGTGCTACAACCCAAGCCTGTTTTGCTGTGACAAAATTAAAGCAAGCAGAGAATCCCCTGCAGAACATTTTGCTTCTCCTGTGTTCACTTTCACTTCCTCTGGGTATTTTTATCATTAAAAACCCCTTAGTTCTGACGTGAAACAGATTGCTGGGACAGTTCAAGCACAATGAGTCCGATCATAAGCTCACACAGACTATCAAAAATATGCTCTTAAGGGTGTGGAGAAAAAACAACTGCTGCTGATTTAATCTTCTGGCGGACATCGGCCCCATGTGAGGCAACCCAACGCCCTGCTTCAAGCTAGGACGGGACACCTCCCCAGCAAGCCTCCCTGTTGAAAGTCAATGAACCATCAGTTAATTTTTACCCAGGAAGGACAGGACATGCACCTCAGCTGCTGGATGCTCCCATGACAGTCCCTCAGCATCAGAGCCACATCATCGCTCATTTCATCAGCTTCCTTTGGGAAAATAAAGCTAAAACTGTGTTTCGAGGTTGCTCTGTGTGCCTGACAGAGAGGAGAGTTGGTAACAGAGGCAGGCAAAGCCCTCGCTGGGCTTTGGGAGTGTTGGGTACAGCCCCATCGCTATGGGGAAACTTCCAACGTTGCCCCAACGTCTGCAATAGCACAGGTCACAGAAAAGGCAAAAAAAAGTGGGTTTAAAATGAAAGCTTAACTCCAGCGGTTCCCCCTAATCTAGAAACTGATGTGAATTTGAGTAGTAGAAAAATACAAAAGGAAGTGAGTAAGACTCAGGGAGACTAAAAAGGGGCTGAGAACAACGCAGATTTTGCTGTTTCAGAAGTTTCAGAGAGCTGTGGAAATGGCATTTCCGTGGACTCGCCGCTGTGCCATCCCTGCCCACGTGGGCACTCGCCCCCAGCAGCCAGGCTCGTCACTGGGCACGACGGGTGTCTCACCCAGCCTCGGGTTTTGGACCTTGCACTGCAGTGGGCTGTCTTGCTGAAGAC